GCTGTTTGGACACTGCGATTATATCCTTAAGGGCTGTGACGTGTGTGCTATACTCCTTCCGTTCCACTTCGAACGCCTGAATTTCGCTTCTGGCATCCTTCAGCTGTTGCTCCAGCTCACTCCCTGGCACTTCAAAGGAAGCGTTCTGGATCAAGCGCTCATTTTCTTCTTTGAGCCTTGCAACTTCTTCCCGCAAATTATTCATCTCTTGCCTTTTCTCCGCGATTAACTTAACACGTTTCTGGTGAAGCGTTGAAATTTCGTTCATGACTGGCGTCTGGTCACTGCCTTCCGGCCACCACGGATCAACACTGACTTCGTCGTAGCACCCACTCTTTGTGTTTCCCATTTTCGATTTAGTGCGTTTATGGTCAAACGAAAATAGCCTTTAAGGTCGACGCGTCACAAAAGAAAAGAAAGGCGACCGAACTTTGTTGTACCACCTCTGCAGAGCGCGTATAAAAATTTTTGGCGACGAGGAATATTTTTAGAATTTTTTGGCTAATCGACTGCAATTCGTATGCCAAAACGTCTGGCGCATGCACGAGGCGAAACGTAATTGAATTAAAAATAAAACTCTGATCAAACTCCTCCCACTGGCACATTCGTGGTTGCTGAATAAGACATTTTTTGGGGAAAAAATCGCGGACGTGGTGATTTTGCACTTTTTTTTCGATCGATCTATCGTTCGAAACGTACTGGAATAAACCTCCGCCGCCAATTTCGATTATAAATAGATCTTGTGTATTTGTTTTGTCGTGTACGGTGGAAGAGGCTCGCTTAAAAATAGCCTTTAGCACGTGTTTCGCGTCGTCAATAATTAGAGGAAATAATTGACTAACGGAAAGCGCCACTCGTTTGAGTGGAAAATTAATCGTAATTGACTCATAGCTTTTGAAACGGAATTTCGAAATCTTGGCAGCGTCAATCATCGTGGTCTTCATTTGTTTACGTTTACCATGAAAGCGTAGGGGGCCAGAGCTGGGTACTGCGTTTCGCTCGAAAAAGCGCTCCAAGCGGAAAAAGCGCGTACTTAAAGTGCTCGGCGCTCGAGCGCTTTTTTCGGCCCGCGAGCGGGTTTTTCCGCTCCTGAGCAGTTTTTTCCACTCCCGAGCGCTCGCGATAAACCGCTCGAGCACTTTTAGGAGTGCGGTTCTGCTTTGCAAAACAGCTCGATGCTCGCGAGCATTTTTAAGACAATTACGTGATTCGAGCGGTTTTTTAGAGCGCTCGACCCAGCTCTAAGGGGGACCTAAATGCTTTTTGCATCGGCCTTCTCTTAAGATACTAAAATGAAAGAGATCACTCGTAGCAGCATGCACGCAGAAAGAATGAAAAGAGACGCAAAATACGAGGAATTCTGGATCTGGATTACGATAGAAGAGTGGACAAGCTCCTACCAAGATACTACCTACCTCCTTGACTATAGTCGCCCAACGAACCTAAGGATGCTGGAAGAGGAGGAGGCGGCTCTGATCGTTACCATGTCGGGCCAACATGGATCGTCTCAGTCGGACTAGAGCGGAACATTCACAAAGCACGTACTTTGCCGCCTCTTCGTCTGTGTAACATCCTCTACAAGAGGATCGAGCTGTTTTGCGATGTGTGTTCCGAGCATTTCCAAAAGTGCTCGAGCGCTTGAGGGCGGTTAGAAGCGCTCACGAGCGAAAAAAAACGTTCAGGAGAGGAAAAACCACTCGCGAGCAGAAAAAAGCGCCGAGCACTTTAAGTAAACGCTCGAGTATCGAGCACCAAGCGACCGCTCTGAAAAGTACGCTCGCAAGCCCTTTTTCCGCTTGGAGCGCTTTTTCGAGCGAAACGCAGTACCCCAGTTCTGCCCTCGATCAATGAACCACTCAAACAACGCCCAACGCTGAGCGAACGCGATACGCGAAAAAAAGACTGAAGAAGGAAGATTCGTAAGGGAAGAGATGTGAAAGAAGAAGGAAGTCTGAAGGAAAGAATTGCGCGGTGAAAAGAAGTGGTGAAGGCTAAAAGCAGGTGTGAAGAAGAAACCCACAGTGAAGGAAGACATGAAACAAGTTGAAAGGAAAGAGAATTGCAGAATGTAGTGCAAAACAAGAACGCGCCAAGAAAGCAGTCGTGAAGAAGGCGTCAAGGAAGCGCGAAGCACAGAAACATGGCGATTGTAGGTGCGACGAAGGGAGGTACAGAAATTCGAAGAGAGTGAATGCGCCATGGGGTAGTAGGTGCAACTATCGCTGTGAAGGGGAGTGAAAGAAGCGAGAGCGAAAGGAACTTGAAGAAACTGGATTACGAAAGAAGAAAGGCTTGTTGGAAATAGTCCCTAAGAAAGGAAACGGAAAATAGTAATGAGAGAGGCGTGAAAAAGGCGTAATAGCAACCAGAAGAAGATAGAGTTGGAGGTAAGGTGTGCAAAAGGAAGAGGCGTGAAAGAAACACGAAGAAGAGAGTAAACGCAAAAAAGGGAGGAGGAGTGTAGTTATACTTTGTAGAAACCGAGGGGTTACTGGTAGACGCAAAGAGAACGAATGAAAACTAGAAGAAAGTGCCAAGGAGGTAGATACGGAATGGTCGTGAAGAAAGCGCGAAAAAACGCAAAGGAAGAAACCTGAAGATTGAAGGCGCAAAGAAAAGAGAGGTGGAAGCTAGAACAATGTACCAGGAAGGTAGGTACGAAACAGTTGTGAAGAAAACGCGAAAAGAAAGCGAAGAAGATTGTGGGCGTGAAAAAAAAAGATAGATGGCTGCTAGAAGAATGTGCCATCTAGAAAGATACGAAATGGTCGTGAAAAAGGCGCGACAAAGCGCAACGGAAAGAAACATTGTGCGCGTAAAAAAAGAGAGGTGGAAGCTAGAAGAATGTGCCAAGGAAATAGATACGAAACTGTCGTGAAGAAAGCAAGCGCAAAGGAAAAAACCTAAAAATTGTAGACTCGAAAAAAAGAGAGATGGAAGCTAAAACGTATGTACCAAGAAGGTAGATGCAAAACGGTCATGAAAAAGACGTGAAAAAAGCATAAAACAAAGAAACCTTGACGACTGTAGGCGCAAAAGAAAATGAGATGGAAGTTAGAAAAAAGGTGACAGCTAGATAGCTACGAAACGGTCGTGAGAAAGGGTGAAAAAAGCGGAAAGGAAAGAAAGCTGAACACTGTGGGCGCTAAAAAACAGAGAAAGAGAAAGAAACGTGAAGATTTATGGGCAAAAAAGAAGAGAGAGGTGGAAGCTGTGGAGGATGTGCCCAGGCAATAAATACGAAGCGGTCGTGAAACAGGCGTGAAAAAAGCGTAAAAAAAAGAAACCTTGAAGATTGTAAGCGTAAAGGAAAGAGACATTGAGGCTAGGAGGTGGATACGAAATGGTGCTGAACAAGCCGTGAAAAAACGTAAAGGAAAGAAACCTGAAGATTGTATAGACGCGAAGAAAAGAGGGAAGCTGAAAGAATTCGCCAAAGAGGTGGATACTAAGCGATGGTGAAAATGGCGTGAAAAAAGCGCAAAGGAAAAAAACCTGGAGATAGATACGAAACGACCGTGAAAAATGCATGAAAAAAAGCGAAAACTAATGAACCTGCAGCAAAGAAAATGAAGATGGAAGCTAGGAGGTAGATAAACAATCGTGAAGTCGAAAACAGCGCAAAAGAAAGAAACCTGAAGATTGTAGATCCAAAGAAAAGAGAGATGGAAGCTAGAAGAATGTGCAAAGGAGATAGATATGGAATGGTAGTGAAAAAGCGCAAAGGAAGTGCACCTGAAGTTATAGACGCAGGAAGCTATAGAACAATTGTGAAGAATGTTAAGTTATATAGAATAGTAATTATTATATGTATTCTATGGTACCTATCCATTTTACATGGTTGCCAACATTAAAATAAGAGATGAAAGACAATAGTTAAGTTTTAAGTAAGCATGTCATCATGTAACACGTTTAAGATGTACAGAAGTTTTTCTATATTTTCTATGTTTACTTTTATGATAATAAACATTAAAATCTAACAAAGAAAGCGTGGAAAAAGAGCAAAGGAAAGAAAACTGAAGATTGTAGGTGCCAAGAGAAGGAAGAAGAATGTGCCAAGGAGGTAGATACGAAACGGTCGTGAGACAAGCGCAAAGAAAACAACTTGAAGATTGTAGGCGCAAAGGAAAGAGAGATGGAAGTTAGATAGAATGTGCCATGGAAGTAGACAAGATACGATACAGTCGCGAAGAAGGCTTGAAAAAGGCGTAGAGAAAAGAAACCTGAAGACTGTATAGGTGTGCCAAAGGTAGGGGCGGAGGTTCAAGGAGAACGTGAAGAAAAAAGATAATCCTCAAAGAGGGTGGGTACAAAACAGTTGTGATAAGAGAGTGAAAGAAACGCGTTGAAGAAAGTAGGTACGACAAGAAGAAAATGTGGTACTAGAGGCTTGGTGGTTAGTCGCTAAGAAAGGAAACACGAAGGAGGCGGGAAAAACGTGTGATATGGAAACCCGAAGAAGAAACCGTTGTGGGGAAACGGTTGAAAGAAACACGAAGGGAAAAAACTTGACAAGGTAGGAAAGAGTTAAAGGAAGGGGACGTGGAAGCTAGAAGAAACAATCATGAAAACGGCGTCAAAGAAACGCGAAGGCCAGAAAGTAGGAACGGAAACGGGCGCTAAGAAGGAAGACGCAGAAGAGTAATAAAAGGGCGAAATAGAAACTCAAAAAGATAATGTTGTTTGTGGGGAAAGGGGTGTCAAAAGGAAGAGGCGCGAACGAAACACGAATGAAAAAATTTGAAGAGTAGAGTGGGGCGGGGAAGGGAGGAGTGAGTATGACGAAAATGTGCCCCAAAGAAGTGAATACGAAACAGTCTTAAAGGAGGCGCAAAAGAAACGCAAAGGAAAAATACTCTCAGCAAGTAGGCGCAAATGAGTTGTGATGGGAAGTATTAGGGAGGGATGGAGAAGATGGAGCCTTAAGGAAGACGCGTGAAGGAAATAGGCTTGTAGATTGCAATAGCGAAGAAGGATGGAGACTTGATGAAAATTTAAAAATCAACGGGTCAATAAGATGAAGAAAGCGCATAGGGAAAAAATGTGAAGTTGCAGGCGCAAAGAAAACAGAGATAGATACAAAACGGAAAAAAGAGCCGTAAAACACGAGGGAAAAAACGGAAGAGAGTAGGCGCGAAGAGGGTACGAGTGAAAGAGAGTGAGTGGAAAGTGAATGCGCCCAGAGTCGTCGATACAAGCCTGAAGAAGTCGTGAAAAAGTTAAAAGGAAAGAGATTGAAGTAACCAGAATATTGTGAGCGCAAAGAAGAGAGAGCTCGAAGCCAAAAGGTTGTGCCAAAGAGGTAGATACGAAACGGTCAGGGAGAAAGTGTGAAAGGAATGCGAAGAA